TTACAGTAGATATCAGTAACTTCACCTGGCTGCTTGAGGACACCTCCTCTCTGAACACAATGTCACTAGTATGTGTGACTGGGGACTGATAAAAAAAAGGAAGAGTAAACTCGATGGGCAGGTTTGTCTTCTAAATCTGGAATTTATAATACATTGATTGTATTATTGTTTTCCAGTCAGCTCTGGGATGTAATGAGTCAGCTAATAAACAGCTAAGACATTTCCTTTTAAAGTGACCCTGTCACCAAACTGATAATAACCATAAGACGTGCTGGTAAAGAAGACCTCTTCTGGTGCCCATGAAAAGCCATGCATTTGAAAAGAAATTGCCAGCTGAGATCTTCATCCGAAACGGACACTTTCCGGTGTGTCCATCTCCGGACCCCCTCAGATGTGTCTACACTCACTCCAGCACTATATCTATGGAGTAGCAACATAGCCTCCCTTGGACAGCAGTTTTCTCAACCCATGGAGAGGGCAGTGTTACATAGACTAGTAGATTTAAGCGACCTACAAATTAAAGCCTAAATCCAACTAATACTTTTTAAGCAGTTACAGAAACCAATTTTTTGCTCTTTTTGGGATAAAGAGTTTACATAAATAAAAGCTGCTTTTGCTGCAGATCATAGTCTGTTGAAAGACGATAAAAAAATAACAGACTTACTGGCAGAATCACCAGGTGAAAATAAAGAAAAAAAGTCTAAAGAAAAAGAAAAAAAAAATGAATGCAGCCACCACATTTAAGAATTGATAAACCCCGAAATATTAAACTTTTGTTTTTAGGTTTAGATACATGTTAAGCCAGATCCTGCTTCAGGTTTATCCTCTTTATCAGACTGTTAAGGGCGGTCAGACACCCAATCTCTTAACTTTGGGCTTGCATCCTCACAGCTTCCATAACATCTCTAGGAAACTTACATACGAGAAGCTTCTCTTTTCCTGGTAGATTCAGGCCACCACCCAAGAGTAACTCTGAAATACCAAGGCCATTGAGATGTCAAACCCCAAGGCTGACGGTACATTTCATAAGGAGAGAAACTCAATCATTCCATAGTATAGCAGAATGTACTGCCTAGCAGACCAAATATCCCTTTTCCAAAAAGAGCCAGTTCAACTCACATGATCCAGTGCCTGTCACTTTAAGGGTAAGACAGTCCCGGGTAGCAGCTAATCCAGTTTCTCACCAGAGCGCTCCTTCCCCTTACTGGCCTGGGGGTGTAGGTCTACTCAGTCCTTCTCCTATGAGCTGCTGGGTTCGTGGCTGCTCTCAGACCTTCTGCTGAGCCGCTCCTTCCCTGCTGCATAGGTGGTCCTCGCTCTGGGGGCTGATGAGGTCATTTGCCTTCCTTCTTTCCAGCTACTCTGCCTGTAGGTGGGCTCCCTCCCAGGATCCTGCTCTACAGCCTCTCACTTCTCCATCTTCCACCCAAACTCCCCATGCTGAGCAGTCTTCAATCACTCTTAAGGACTGTCCTGGCCCCATGTCAAGCCTTCTGTTAGGGATTGGCCAGGATCCCTTGAGAGTGCAGACCAGCCACTCCTCACTCCCTCCCACTAGTTTAAGAATTTAATCCAAAATTCTAGAGCAGGGGGAGTCCCAGAGAGCTGGTCTGCAGAGGGTCTCAGCCCCTGACCAAAATGTAACCCCTCTCTGACTGTTAAACCTGGGCTGCTACTCAGCCCCTATCTACAAATTAGAATCTATCTCCCCCTAGCTGCCTAGGAGGGAGCTACATATATCACTCTTGTGTCAAAAATTGGCCACCCATATCTCACAGTAGTTCCATGTCCAAATGTAACACCAACCATCCCAACATAGAGCCCAGAGTCAGCAGGAGAGGACACATGAGTCTCTATGCTATGTTCCCCCTTCAGTATTAGAGGAGGAAGGTCCCCTATTAACAATTCCACACAATATGATGGTGCAGAAGTGAGAAATGCACAGGAATCTCACTATGGAAATATCAATGGAAGCCTAACACCCCATTACACAGACAGGCCCATGACACCCTGATTTGTGGATCCATGACATCATGCCTCCATTTGTAGCATACCTGGAAACCATTGGTCCAGGGGCGGACTGACAACTCATGGGACCCCCGGGCAATAGGGGATCATGGGGTCCCTGTGTCCTTGCCCAAACTCAAAAAAGCCTATGAAAAAGGTACCAGGGGCATCTCATGGGGCCCCCTACTGACACCAGGCCCTCGGGCAGTGCCCGAGTTTTCAAATGGTCAGTCCACCCCCTGCATTGGTCTCAGACCTTTAGCATGTGGGGCAGACAAAATACCTTGAAAACCATGCATAGAGAAATGATGCCGCATGCACTGTGGTGGGTGGGGGACGGTGGGTGTGGCCAAATTGTGGTAACAGTGGGAGGGGTCTAAGGGGAAACGGTTAAATAAATCTAAACCTACTCTGCCTCGGATCAGGAGTAGGGTCAGAGTTTAATCCAACACTGCATGTGAGTTGCACTGTGAAAAAACACATACATACTGCATTTTTACACGCAGCACACACCACCGCACATGTATGGTTTGAGCATGGCATTTACAAAAGAACTGTTGCATTGAATCAATGTGAAGGAGCCCAAACGAATCAGAAACTAACACTTCTGGGGGTTTCACATTTTCTTCTGTACCGCCCTCCCCCCACAGCACTCAGTGGTTCCTTCCATTGACTCAGCACACAGTAGTGAAGTAGTGGTGAATGGGAGTTACCATTGAAAGTAGCAGGGGAGCCGGGTGATGGTTGCTGTTGGTTTCTGAAGCTTCCTCATCAGGTGTATCACTTTAGAAGTGATTAGAGCCACAGGCAGCAGATGAGGCGACTAAGTTCTACTTCACATAGACACCTTTATTCATTAGTTTTGGCCTCACAAGTGACTGAACTCTGCCCTGTATTATGTACAAATGGATCCTGAGCCAGAAAATAGGAATCACAGCAGGTGAAGAGTTAACGGCCCACAGTTCTTTATTATATTACAAGCAATCCCCATAGTAAACATCGCGGTTGCCCCCGGAAACCGCGCACACTTAGCAGCTGTGCTGTAAAAGCCTTTTTATTGGCTGCAAGCACGGTCACGCGCTCTTAGGCATAATAAACTGAGGGAAGGACTGCCCGCAGCGCGCGTCCGCCTATCCCAGCGCGCTCCCGAGCACGCGACCCCGCTTCCTACCCTACTTTAGCATCAGAGGCTTCAAATCAGCGCGACTCCCACGTGACTCGCCGAAGCCGCCGCCGCTCCCCTCCGCTGATTGGCTCAATGTAGGTCAGTCACTCCCCTTCACGTGAAAGAACAATCCGACGGCCCGCGCTTGGTGCAACGTGAGCTAGGAGGCCGGGTAAATCTTTTGGTTGTTGCTCGGCTGAGCCGCGGAAAGAAGGATGGGGCGGGCGGATTGTAAATGCAAACCAGCAGGTGTCTTGTGTTTTTAGTATTTCATTTGCTGTCATTTAAATTAATTATTTTTACTTAATATTTTACTTTATTTTATATTTTACTTGATTTATTTTTTATGTCATTTTATGATTTTTTTTTAATGATGTGAAGTAATAAAGTGCATACAAAAAAATAAAACAAATAGTGAATACAATGGATATATGACTTGCTGTTGATATAAACTCGATTACTTTTTTGCAGGACACTACCCTCCCCCCCCACATCACAATATGATGGGGACAGGAATCTCTCTATGGCATATCAATGGGTGCCTAATGCCGGCCATAGACGGTTCGAAAATCGGCCAATTTTTCGGCTGAATAAAAAATCGGTTCATTTTTGCACTGTTAGTGGGTTAATTGGTCGGCCGTTTTTTGGGTTTTTTTTGCACAGTTTTTTTATTGGTCATGTTGAAAATTGGCGGGCGATTTTGCCGATCAGACGATTTTCCCGGCAATGATGGTCAAATTGGCCGATTGTTTTACCGATAAAAAATCCGCGCATGAGCCGTGACCTGCAAGGGACAGACGTTATGGGGTGAACTTTATGATTTAGTCGGCCAATTTTTTTTTTTATCGCTGGTGGTAACGTCGGCCGAACGAACGACCGATTTTTCAGGGTTTTTTTTTTCGAAAAATTGGCCGATGTTCGACCCATCTATGGCCTGCCTAACACCCTGTTACACAGGCTGGTCTATAACACCCCGCACTCACTATGGTGTGAGGTCACCAGATTTTCAAATTGAAACCCCAGGAGACCCTACTGACCACACTGATTTTTGATCATACCCACAAATTTACACCCCGATTTTTTATTTGATATTTTGCTTTATTGTTATTTTAGCTTTTATTTTTTATTTTATTTATTTATTTATTTTTTACTGATATGAAGTAATTATTAGAATGAAAAATAACGAATAAAATTATTATTATTATTATATACAGTATTTATATAGCGCCAAAAAGTTTGCTCAGCGCTGTACATTATAGAAGGGATATATACTTTGCTGTTGATAAACCTCTTCCCCCCATCACAATAGAATGGGGACAGTACTGCACAGGAATCTCGCTATGGAATGACAATGGGAGCCTAACACTCCACTACACAGGCTGGCCTATAACACCCTGCGCTCACCCTGGGGTGAGATTACCAGATTTCCAAATTGAAACCCCAGGAGAGCCTCTTGACCTCACTGATTTTTGATCATACCCACAAAATTAAACCCCGATTTTTTATTTAATATTTTACTTTATTATTATTTTAGCTATTATTTTATTTATTTTTTTATTTTTAAATTTTTTTTTTACTGATGCGAAATAATTATTAGCATGAAAAATAATGAATAAAATGGATATATACCTTTCTGTTGATAAAACCTCTCCCCCACCCCCATCACAAAAAAATGGGGACAGTACTGCACAGGAATCTCCTTATGAAATAACAATGGGAGCCTAACAGGCCTGCACATCTCTATTTCTTTTTTGAAAAAAAAAAAGTGTCCACCTGGAACGTCTCCCCAGGCAGGCGGCAAGTGAACTGTCATTACTTTTTGTTTACATGGCAGCAGGGCAGACTGACCATTTGGAAACTCGGGCACTGCCCGAGGGCCTGGGGTCAGTAGGGGGCAGGGTTGGACTGACAACTCATGGGGCCCCCGGGCAATAGGGGATCATGGGGCCCCTGTGTCCTTTCCCAAACTTAAAAAAACCTATAAAAAAGGTACCAGTGGCATCTCATGGGGCCCCCTACTGACCCCGGGCCCTTGGGCAGTGCCCAAGTTTCCAAATGGTCAGTCTGCCCCTGGTAGGGGGCCCCATGAGATGCCCCTGGTACCTTTTTAGTATAGTATAGTATAGTATAGTTTAGTATAGTAAGTTTCATTTGGTGGCCAAATGCTGTATTTTATTTTCCATTTTAAATAAATGAAAACATTCGACCAGCACAGGAAATGGTATAATAACATTTGTATTTCTGTCCCATTAGCCTAATAACATTCTTTTTTTTTTTTTTACGCATTGAACTCTGACTCAGCACATCTACCATGAGGGTCGGAAACATACATGTCCATCGCCGCCTGCTTCTAGGTTTTCGGGCGCGTGTGAGCGCGCCCCATGCTGTCCTGTGCTGTGACCAAATGCTGCATTTTTTTTTTTTCCATTTTATATAAATGAAAAACATAAAAACATTTTTTGACCCATCGCACACCAATTTAAAACAGAATATACCACATATAGCTACTAGATGGCACTAAGTATCACAGGACATTTGTATGATACTTGGCACCATCTATTGGCCAAATGCGGTATTTTTTTTCTGTTTTAAATAGATGAAAAACATTCGACCAGCACAGGAAATGGTATAACATTTGTTTTTCTGTCCCATTTGCACAGAATGTATACATAAATGTTCACTGGGCAATTTTTATTTAAAATAACCCCATGTCTGTGTGCGCACGGTCGCTTGATCTCTGCACTTCAAATTTGCCACTTTGGTATCGCCATCTAATATATAAATGTATTCACTTTAACCACCGTAAACTTCCAGTAGGTGTTAATATGTTTATTGCTAACAACTATCTGGTTTTATTTTGCAGCACAAATTGTAACTAGGCCAATAAAGAGTCTGTTTCCTCTCATTTATTATACAGTGCCAGTGAATCACAAATGCTTAATGAAGACTCTCAATTATCATCCCACTTTTGTCATAATCATTTACGTACAAAGGCTCAGCCTAACCACAGTCAATAAGCCACCCACAGAAGTGTTAGTCTTTGATATATGAATGCGGGGGACAATTAGGTATACCTGGGAGGACGTATTTAACTCCCATCAGCCTTTACTAGGAAAAAACAAAATCTTTTGGTGCTCAATACTTTAACCACTTGGCACCTCCCGGCCCTTTAAGGGATTTCAGATGCTGGGAAGCGGGGTGGGGTTTCTGATCATGTGAACCCCGTGATTGGCTGTCACATGATTGGAAAACTCCCAAGTGGTTATCCCGCCGGGAGCGCGCAGGGCGCACACTCTCGGTGCAGGTCTGTTTATCTTCTCGGTGTCAAGGTCCACCTGCCAAAAGGCCACATATATGCATTCAGCCGGCGCCAAGGAGTTAAAGTAGACGTAACATCAGGCATATTTTTTCATATTAAAGAGAAACTTAAGTCCCCTTACTGCTGCCCCACCTTACTGGCGCAGCCATCTTCGATGGTCCAGCTCATGTAATGAAGTGCCAAAGTGCTCTGCCCATCTTTTGGGACCTAGCAGAGTCCTGCAGCAGATCTGCATACGCACGGTCACAAGATTGTCTGCTTGGTCTGTGCACGCGCCCGAAGAATAAGGGCATGCACAGGCCAAACAGAAAGTCCTGTACCTTTCTAATTGTGCTACGTGGGCACACACGGGCATGTGCAGATGTGCCCAAGGTCTCTGCTGGTTACTAAAGGCTGGGCAGAGCCTTTCAGCACATCTGTGCACGGGTGGATTGGGCTCAATATAGTTCTCATCTGGGCAAGAAAGGAGGATGTGTTGTCCTGCAGTATGAAAAAAAAATCCAATTGCGGGAGAAGAAGGAGCTAGCATGGGAAGGTGCACTCCAAATGTTGGTCCGCAGGCCAATGGGGCTCTTTGCTTGGCTATATCCAATGCTTGGGGCACCATTCCATCCTTTGACATCAATAATGGGGCACCAATCCATCTACTGACATCAATGATGGAGCCCTATTCAATCCACTGACACCAATGATAGGGCACCATTCCATCCACTGATACCAATGATGGGGCACCATTCCATCCACTGACACCAATGATGGGGCACCATTCCATCCATTGACACCAATGATAGGGCACCATTCCATCCACTGACACCAATGATGAACCACCATTCCTCCCACTGGAACCAATAATAGGGCACCAACTAATAGAATGGGTCACCTCCCATTAAAACCAATGATGGGGCATTGTTTACTTCCAATGGCGCAGAGGCATTTTCTACTCCCACTGGACAAATACACACAGGTCCATAGCTCCATTTAAGACTGGCCTTTCTTATGCATAGATAATCTGGGTGCTGGCCACTATAGTCTGTCTCCACTCTCCATTGAAAATATGAAAGAATATCAGCCGCACCTTGCTTAGCTCCTCTTACAGAATTTTTTAACAGTTGATTAATTGACTGCATACAGCAATGTCTCCACCCAAGAAACAACCTTCCTTGACACGTTTCACCACTCCTTGCTTGCTCGCAAGGATAGAGGAACTTCCCCTATCCTCCCAAGAACCAACCCTACTTCACACATTTCACCACTCCTGGCTTGCTCACAAGGATAGAGGAACTTCCTCTGTCCACTCAAGAACCAACCTTCCTTGACAACTTTCACCACTCTTGGCTTGCTTACAAGGATAGAGAAACTTCCCTTATCCACCCAAGAACCAACCTTCCTTGACAACTTTCACCACCTGGCTTGCTTACAAGGAAAGAGGAACTCGTCTGGCTTGCTTACAAGGATAGAGAGAACTTCGTCTGTCCACTCAAGAACCAACCTTCCTTGACAACTTTCACCACTCCTGGCTTGCTCTCAAGGATAGAGGAACTTCCTCTGGCCACCCAAGAACCAACCTTCCTTGACACCTTTCACCACGTCTGGTTTGCTCACAAGGATAGAGAAACTTATCCTATCCACCCAAGAACCAACCTTCTTTGACACCTTTCACAACTCTTGGCTTGCTCACAAGGATAGAGGAACTTCCTCTGTCCACTCAAGAACCAACCTTCCTTGACAACTTTCACCACTCCTGGCTTGCTCTCAAGGATAGAGGAACTTCCTCTGTCCACTCAAGAACCAACCTTCTCTCAAGGACACCTTTCCACAATTCTTGGCTTGCTCACAAGGATAGCGGAACTTCCTCTGTCCACTCAAGAACCAATCTTCCTTGACAACTTTCACCACTCCTGGCTTGCTCACAAGGATAGAGGAACTTCCTCTGTCCACTGAAGAACTAACCTTCCTTGACACCTTTCACCACTCCTGGCTTGCTCACAAGGATAGAGGAACTTCCCATAGCCTTGTGAACAAGCCAGGAGTGGTGAAAAGTGTTGAGAAGGGTTGGTTCTTGGGTGGTGACAGTGCTGTATTCTGTCAATTCATTAACTATTAAAAAAAAATGTTAAGTGGAATGCAGCTGATATTCTTTCATATTCTCAAAGGAAATTTCCTCTATTCATAGAAAGTGCCTAAAAACGTCTATGTGCCTGCACCCTAAAACCAGAGTAAAGGGGCTCTTTCAGACAGGCAGTAAGCTTACTGCCTTAGAGGGTGGTATAACAGTGGCTGGAGTGCATTCAGGGGGTGCTACTGTTGGTTCTTGATGCCCGTGTTTTTGCTTTTTTTTTTTTTTTTTTTACTTTTTTGTGGTGGCTGCGGCATGTGTACAGCCATGTCAGAATTATGGTGGGCAAAAGGGGGGGGGAGGGGTTGGTAAAACCATTGCTTAGTCTCCTAATTTTACTGTCCCCAAGCCACCAGTGTGAAAGAGCCCAAACAGAGGCAAATTGATGCAAATTAGAAAAAAGTCCCTAAATATGATCAAAAATCTGAATTGGTTTTAAAACAAAGAAATAGCAAACGGACTGAACCTGATATTATTTGTGTTTACCGGCAATTTTGTCAAGACCAAGCCCCCCTTTTCAACCTTTCATGTGCTTTCTCCTGTCAAATCTTTTTAATATCTTATATCAACAGGAGAACCCTCCAACAAGCGAGATCGTTTCGCCTTTTCGCCTCCCTTTGTTTGTAACCGTCTTTATTTAGTGTTTTTGTAGCGCCTCGCCTTTCGCAAATCAAGTGCAGTTGATTAGGAAGTCAAGAATCACCCCAGGTCTTTGAGCCGTACCCGTTTGATTGGCTTTTAACAAAGTCAGATTAAATAAATGGCATAATCAGTTGAGATTTGCCTACAATTTTTTGACGACGCTGTACGCTTGCATTCAGCGACTCCAATTACTGGCTAATGTGTTTCTTTCTGAACCAACGAAGCTCCTTTTCTTTTCTCTCATTGAGCAAAAGAGAACTCAGCAGCCATCAGAAATTTCAAAAGCCTAATAATGACTCGTAATTACACTCAACCTAGGAATAATTTCAGCTTTCTTTTTTTTTTTTTTTTTCCTCGCACCTGTTCCAGAGCAAAACATGATGATGTCGTTTTTGGACTTTATCGGTAACTTTGCCGGGTTTTGATGCCCCCTGCTTCTCAACAAGGGGGCTGTGAGATACCAGGCAATTCACTTCGACCAAAATATACCTTTTATTTTTATATTAATGTTAGTGGATGAATTTTGCAGGTTGGTAACCAACACACAAAGACCCCTTTCACACAGGCATTCCGTATGTCCGTTTTTTATCTGTCTGTTTACGGATGAAAAACAGACACCCATGTATTTCTATGGACTAGTGGATGTAAACGGATGATGACCGCATTCATTTTTATGAACGGAAGAAAACCCTATTGGTCCTTTCACACGGGCATTCTGTTTTTTTCATCAGTTCATATTTTTCCAAGAAAAAATTGATCAGTTGACATCTGTTTTTCATCAGTTGACATCTGTTTTTCATCAGTTTACATCCGTTTTTCATCAGTTTACATCAATTTTTTATCAGTTTATGTCAGTTTTTCATCAGTTTGAATCCGTTTTTCATCAGTTTACATCAATTTTTCATCAGTTTACATCAGTTTTTCATCAGTTTTAATCCGTTTTTCATCAGTTTACATCAGTTTTTTTTCATCAGTTTTAATCCGTTTTCAGTTTTTCATCAGTTTTTCATCAAATTTTTTCATCAGTTTACGTCAGTTTTTCATCAGTTTTAATCCGTTTTTCATCAGTTTACATCAAATTTTTCATCAGTTTACATCAGTTTTTCATCAGTTTTAATCCGTTTTTTTTCATCAGTTTACATCAGTACATCAGTTTTTTTTTCATCAGTTTTCAATCCGCTTTATCATCAGTTTACATCAATTTTTCATCAGTTTTACGGCAGTTTTTCATCATCAGTTTTTTTCAATCTGTTTTTTTCATCAGTTTACATCAATTTTTCATCAGTTTACATCAGTTTTTTCATCAGTTTTCCATCATCAGTTCACATCATTTTTTCATCAGTTTACATCATTATCAGTATTTTTCATCAGTTTATTATTACAGTTTACATAAATTTTTCAGTTTATCATTTTTCCATCGCCAAAGGGTTTACATCAATTTTTCATCAGTTTACGTCAGTTTTTCATCAGTACAATAGGGGGGGACATCATTTTTCATGGCACAGTTTACAACAAAGACAGACATCAGTTTTTAATCCGTTTTTACATCAGTTTTAATCCATTTTTCATCAGTTTTACATCATTATACATCACATCAATTTTTCATCACGTTTTACGTTTTTAATCCTGTTTTTCATCACATCAATTTTTCATCAGTTTACATCAGTTTTCCATCAGTTCACATCATTTTTTCATCAGTTTTACATCATCAGTTTACATCAATTTTTCATCAGTTTACATCAGTTTTTTTTTCATCAGTTTTAATCCGTTTTTCATCATTTTTCAATTTTTCATCAGTTTACATCAGTTTTTTATCAGTTTACATCAGTTTTTCATTTTTCATCAGTTTACATCAGTTTTTCATCAGTTTACATCTGCTTTTTACATCCTTTACCAATGCAAAAGTGGACCATATGTCCGTCCGTTTACATCAATTTTTCATCCGTTTACCACCATTTACATCCATTTTTCATCCGTTCCATTTTTTTTACAGTAGAAAAATAGATCCTTTTCACACGGATGAAAACGGATGATCATCTGTTTACATTCATTAAGGTCCACATCTGTTTATTTTAATGGAAAAAAACCCCATGGGTCCTTTCACACGGACATTCCAGTTTTTTTCATCAGTTCAGTCACGTTTTTTCCAAAAAAAAAAACTGATCAATTGACATCAGTTTTTCATCTATTTACGTCTGTTTTTCATCAATTTACGTCAGTTTTTTCATCCAGTTTACATCCGTTTTTCATCTATTTTTCATCAGGTTACACCTATTTTTTTTACATCCTTTACCAATGCAAAAATGGACCATATGTCCATTTACATCCATTTACTTCCGTTTTTCATCCATTTACATCCAGTTTCCTTCTGTTCCATTTTTTTAACAGAAGAAAAATAGGCCCCTTTCACATGGGCGTTCCATATGTCCATTTTTTATCTGTCCATTTACAGATGAAAAAACGGACATCCATGTATTTCTATGGACTAGCGGATGTAAACGGATGATCATCTGTTTACATCCGTTAATGTCTGCAACCATTAACATCCGTTTTTTTTAATGGAAGATGGTCCCTTTCACATGGGCATTCTGCATGTCCGGTTTTCATCTGTCCATTTACAGATGAAAAACAGACACCCATGTATTTCTATGGACTAGTGGAAGCAAACGGACAATCATCTGTTTACATCTGTTAATGTCCGTATCCGTTTGTAATGTCCGTTTTTTGAACGGAAGAAACCCCTATTTTTGTTTTGTAAAAAAACTGGAATGGACAAAAAAGATGTTTATTTATGTAAACGGACAAAAAACAGATTTAAAAGGACAAAACAAAGTATGTAAATGGAACTGTGTCAATTTTACACATTACAATTGCTAATACCAGTGAATTTCACTGGTATAAACAACCATTTTTACTGAATGAAACTGATTCATTCAGTATGTATTGTTGAGATTAGCTATGATTGGCCACAGCTAATCACATGGTACAGATGGCCTATGATTAGCCCTCTCTATACTATATGATCATTGTGACCAATCACAGCAAGCAACACAATTGTAAGCAATAAATGGCATAAAAGGAAGTCATTAATTGTTTACAAATTTCATGTGATCTGCTGTGATTGGTCACAGCGATTGCATGGTAGCGGCAGCGGGCCGGCACAGTGAGCTGTCATCAGACAAGGCGTGTTTTCGGGAGGATGTCATATGATGTCCACCCGGAACGACCGTTATGTTACAATAGGCTAGACAGGAACTGGGTAAAGTATATTTTAACCCCCTCTTGCTTGGGAGGGGGCTAGGAAAGACCAGTCTATTTCATGACCACTCTGATTGGCTGCCACAGTGGTCACATGAACAGGAGCTGGTGCTGACAAATACCCGCTTTTTCCAATGCATTGGACCAGACCAGGGGCGGACTGACCATTTGGAAAGTTGGGCACTGCCCGAGGGCCCGGGGTCAGTAGGGGGCCCCATGAGATTCCCCTGGTACCTTTTTCATAGACTTTTTTGAGTTTGGGCAAGGACACAGGGGCCCCATGATCCCCTATTGCCCGGGGGCCCCATGAGTTGTCAGTCCGCCCCTGGACCAGACTAATTTTTATGTCCCAGTCAGCTATTGATTTGTCAATTACTTTGTCATTATTTTTTTTGTAAAAATTCTTTTTTACTGACATTTTTGACACAGAAGTGATCAATATGTTGTTACTGGCAGAACGAATAGAGCTTTGTTTGGGTGGCATTCCTCTCTATGGAATCTTTTATTCCAACAGCAAACAGAAGTAAAAAAAAAAAAATCACTTTCATTCCAGCGTGGTGAAAACTTTTACTGCCAATGCAAAGTCCATATTTTATTTTGCAGCACAAAAATATTGCTGGTAAAGTTACATACAAGAGAAATAAAAATATTATTTTACATTTTGTGTATTTTTTACAGTATAAAGAAATCAATATAAACGTAGCGCAATCTGGTGTACATAGATGTTCAGTGTAGATAGAGGCTTGCTGGAAGCCTGGGTTTAGAGGATTACAGTATATCAAAAGCCATTTATTTCAGTTTGGATGGATCAGGTGCAGGGGTGGACTGACAACTCATGGGGCCCCCGGGCAATAGGGGATCATGGGGCCCCTGTGTCCTTGCCCAAACTCAGAAAAGCCTATGAAAAAGGTACCAGGGCATCTTATGGGGCCCCTACTGACCCCGGGCCCTCGGGCAGTGCCCAAGTTTCCAAATGGTCAGTCCCCCCCTGATCAGGTGACCAATTGTTATGTCTGTGTCCCACTAGGAAGATATCCCTATACTTCCTCTCTTGTATACACAACAGGAAATGATAGGAAATCTCTTCAATGTGGGGAAATGACCTCCTAGGCAAATTGTCAGCAAAACTAGTGTCCCCATTGGAAGATCTCCCTTTTATTCCTGTTCTGGTGGCAACTTAAAATTTTGGATTTTCTGTGTTGTTAATCACCATTAATAGTAAAAATGTAAAAAAGAACAAAAAATTCCAGTATCTATACCGCCATTTGTAAACCTTATACATTTCACGTAAACCAATTATTTACACGTTTTGGGATTTTTTTTTTTTATAGCAAAGACATGGAGCAGAATACATTTTGGCCTAAATTTATGAGGAAATTTGATTTTTTACATTTTTTTACTGGACATGTTTAATAGCAAAAAGTCAAAAATATTGTTTTTTTCTCAAACTTGTCTGCCTTTTTTTTTATAGTGCAAAAAATAAAAAACAAACAGACAATCAAATACCACCGAAAGAAAGCTCAATTCATGGGAAAAAAAGGACATACATTTAATTTGGGTGCAGGGTTGCATGACCGCACAATTGTCAAAGAAATGCAGCGCCGTAACGCAAAAATTGGCCTGCTCAGGAAGGATGGGGGGGGGGCTCTGGGTGTAACTCCTCAGGAGGGCAAGGGGTTAAAGGATATAGCCATTAAGTATGTTTCTTTTTCCACACAGCTCTTCCATCCACTTTAACTGTCAGATACATTTCCCCGGCTAAGAGAGCGTTTGGAAGCAGGTGAGAGGAAAATCGTGCTGAGGAGACGACTAGAAACCAAGAGATCTCTGTACAGTAAGAGGAACAGTATGGAAACCCCTCCCAGCCTTCCCTATTTAGGAGGGGGCGTGTCCCTGATGTCACACCTGTCAGCTGCTGCACATGGAGTAGGGATGATCGCAGCCTGGCAGCGCACATTTGTACTGGCAGCCAGAGAGAGAGGAGCACAAGGGTGACAACGGGCCACCGGACTGCACACCCGCATACAGATCGGCGATACCCACAGCCCGGACACACTGCTCTTTCCTGGCGTTGTCGCCTCGAAGCCTCTGCACCGAGATGGAGAAGATGACCCGGGTCTTACCGCTCAATCCAACTTTTATACCTCCAACCTATGGAGTGCTGAAATCCCTGCTGGAGAATCCCCTGAAGCTGCCGCTACATCATGATGATGGTATGACCGACTTCTCGAATGGGTTATATATATAAATTGAGATATGTGTGTGTGTATATATATATATTGTATGTACTTAGGGTTAGGGTTGAATTAAGTAACGTCATATATATATATACACAATGAGTGTGTGTACTTATATGCGTTAATGTTTTATACATATATATATTTATATATTTTTTTTTTTATTGATTGGTAGATAGATTTGAGACATCTGAAACTGTTGTACTTATGGATATTGGAAGGTGAATAAATAATCGAAGTGCTGAAGACATGTATACATTATATAAATATCTATATATATAAAGAGAAAGAGATAGATATATACATATTACAATTCTAAAACATTTTGTGCAAGTAATGTAAGTAATCTTTCTTTCTTTCTTTCTTTCTTTCTTTCATCTTTCTTTCTTCTTTCTTTCTCTTTCTCTCTCTCTTCTCTCTCTTTTTCTTTCTTGCTCTCTTTCTTTTCTTTTCTTTCTTTTCTTTTCTTTCTTTCTTTTCTTTTCTTTCTTTCTTTCTTTCTTTTCTTTCTTTCTTTCTTTCTTTTTTCTTTTTTCTTTCTTCTTTCTTTCTTTCTTTCTTTCTTTCTTTCTTTCTTTCTTCCTCTCTTTCTTTTCTTTCTTTCTTTTTTTCTTTCTTTCTTCTTTTTTCTTTCTTTCTTTCTTTCTTTTTCTTTCTTTCTTTCTTTCTTTCTTTCTTTCTTTCTTTCTTTCTTTCTTTTCTTTCTTTCTTTCTTTCTCTCTTTCTTTTCTTTCTTTCTTTCTTTCTTCTTTTCTTTCTTTTTTCTTTCTTTCTCCCTTGCTCTCTTTTTTTCTTTCCTCTCTCTCTCTCCCTCCCTCTCCCCCCTCTTTCCTCTCTCTCTCTCTCTCCCTCCCTCCCCCCCCTCTTTTCTTTCTTTCTTTCTTTCTTTCTTTTCTTTCTTTCTTTTTCTTTCTTTCTCCTCCGCTCTCTATCTTTTCTTTCTTTCTTTCTTTCTTTCTTTTTTTTCTTTCTTTCTTTCTTTCTTTCTTTCTTTCTTTCTTTCTTTCTTTCTTTCTTTCTTTTTCTTTCTTTCTTTCTCTTTCCCTTTCTCCCTCCCCCTTTCTTTCTTTCCCTCTCTCTCCCTTTTCTCCCTCTTTCTTTCCCCCTCTTTTTTCTCCCTCTCTTTCTCTCCCTTTCTTTCCTATATCCCCGCCTCTCTCTCTCCAGTATATACATTATTATTGCATTCTGTTATATCTCATTCAATATCACATTATATTATTGTTATATTATATGTCATTATATTATATGTATATAGTCATTTACATAAGGGTACATATATAGAGCGAGATGTGTACATTTCATGTATTATAATCTTGTTTCCCTGTAGCAACAAAAAGTCAGCATATAGTACACGGCGGAAGTTAAGCTTTTTCTTAAAATCGTCTCCTCCATTTAGATCGATGGGTCAAAGGAGGAGATGTACTAAAACTGGAGGGTGCAGAATTTGGTGCAGCTCTACATAGAAACCAATCAGCTTCCAGGTTTCATTGCCAAAGCTTAACTGAACAAGCTGAAGTTAGAAGCTGATTGGCTACCCTTGCACCAAATTATGAGTGCTTCAGGTTTAGCAAATCTCCCTCAAAGACTCCTCTGGTCAGAGCAAGGTGCAATAACCTATAGCAAGCAGTCAAATGGTAATCCGCCAATCTGGCTGCAGCAAAGGGAGATCAGGTTGGCTGCTATGGATTACTGTAATAGCATGCAGCTCTGTGCAGCAACTTGTGCAAAACTGATTGTGTAGGAGCTGATGAGTAGATTGTATAGCAAAGGATGACAGATCCCATCCAGCAGTCACTGCAAATCCGTCACGGTATGGAAGGTGAGATAGAGAGGTCCTTCTCAAATTATAAGCAAATGAATAAACACAATATTTATTATTTATTTATTTCAGGTACTTATATATTGCCATCAATTTACACAGCGCTTTACGTATATATATTGTACATTCACATCAGTCCCTAACCCTCAAGGGGTGTACAATCTAAGGTCCCTAACTCACATTCATACATACACATACTAGGGACAATTTAGGCAGGAGCCAGCGAAACTACCAGCATGTCTTTGGAGTGTGGGAGGAAACCGGAGTACCCAGAAGAAACTCACGCAGGCACACGGAGAACAGGCAAACTCCAGGCAGGTGGTGACATGAAGGGAGTTTTACTAAAATTGGGGCAGACAGGATCTGGCGAAGCTGTGCATGGTAGGCAATCAGCTTCTAACTTTGCTAATAAAATATAGAAGCTGATTGGTTACTATGCACAGCTCCATCAGATTCTGTGTGCGCCGGTTTTAGTAAATCTCTCTCTCCATTGGTACTCCTCTGAGAAGCACCAAGTTAGGCAATGTGTGAATGTAGGGGAAAAAAAAAAATTATATATATATATATATATATATATATATATGCGAAAAAAAAAATATATATATGTGTGTGTGTGAGGTCTTCAAAAAGCTCTTGCACTTTTACATATACAATAGAGTTTAAAAATGTGTGGAAACTTTTTGAAGAACACACACACATACATATATATATATATATATAGCATTTCTGCCTGGCAACACTAGGACTATCAGTTCAAATCGCAACCACAGCACTACCTGCATGGAGTTTGCACGTTCTCCCTGAGCCTGTGTGGGTTTCCTCCTGGTACTCCAGTTTCCTCCCAAACTCCAAAGACATGCTGATGTGAATGTACAATATATATGTAAAGCACTGTGTAAATTGACAGCGCTACCTGTAATAAATAAATAAAATATATCTATATATATAATTTTTTATTAGACCTGAACTATGGCTGCCTACCTTTAGTGTCATCCATGCTGTTGCACCCCTAGATAGTCTCATGCAGGGGCAGACTGACCATTTGGAAACTCGGGCACTGCCTGAGGGCCCGGGGTCAGTAGGGGGCCCCATGAGATGCCACTGGTACCTTTTTCAAAGGCTTTTTTAAGTTTGGGCAAGGACACAGGGGCCCCATGATCCCCTATTGCCCGGGGGCCCAATGACTTGTCAGTCCGCCCCTGGTCTCATGTATCCCTTTTTTCATGATGTCCTCAGAGTCTCGATGTCTACAGAACCTGTGTGTGTTTTTTTTTTTTTTTTTTGCTTTGAAGGAAAAAAGGATTGCTGCCTAATGCAGCGTTCAAACCCACAACTTATTTCTGCTTAATATAGATCACTGATAAGATTGCAGTCCCTCTCCGTTGCACAGCTGTGTAGCCGTTGCTCCTCAAACTTTGCTGCCATAACTTTGGTAGGAGGCGTTCTCTCAGGGCTGGACAAACTGCAGAATCCAGAAGGAGAAACACAGCGCCTCTAAGTGTAGACTGTATGACAGCTTTAATGGTTAAAAAGGTAAGTTTAACAGCTCACATCTTCAAAATGACAAACAGGCTCATATAGGTTGGATGTGCAGAGCGCTTCGTCGCCAGGTGGTAAACCGCAGTGTTGATAAATGGTGGCTAGACAGTGGGGAGCGAAGGAGAGGAAGAGGAGCGCCAGATGGTGAAGCCTAGCTGGTTTACTGTAGAGTCCGGAGCGGCGGCGGTGGCGTTCGACATCATAGGAATTCAACGCGTTTCTGAGCATGCGTGGGGTCCAATGTAGATGAAGGAGCGCACCTGTCTACATCGGACCCCGTGCATGCTCAGAAATGCGTCACAATCTTATGACCAGCTAGGCTTCACCATCTGGCGCTCCTCTTCTGTGGATAAATGCCGGCTGGACAGTGGGGAGCTCTGAAGAGGAAGAGGAGCGCCAGATGGTGTAGCCTAGCTGGTTCACTGTAGAGTCTGGAACGATGGCGTCTGACATCATAGGAATGCGACACGTTTCTGAGCATGCGTGGGGTCTGATGTAGACCGGCGCGCTCCTTCATCTACATCGAACCCCGCACAAGCTCAGAAACGCGTCGCATTCCTATGACATCAAACGCCTTCGCCGCCACTCCAGACTCTACAGTGAACCAGCTAGGCTTCACCATCTGGCGCTCCTCTCCTCCTTCACTCCTCACTGTCCAACCGCCATTTATCCACACTGCGGTTTACCACCTGGCGATGAGGCGCTCTGCGCATCCAACCTATATGAGCCTGTTTGTTATTTTGAAGATGTGAGTCATTAAACTTACCTTTTTAACCATTAGCCCTCATGCACACGGGACGTTTTTACAGCGGCTGTTTTGGGCGTTTTACTTTTTTTTCTACAGTCAGTAAACCCCCCAGCATGTTATCCTATGTGTCCATGCACACATAGACTGTAATCAATGTTTTTTCGGCAGGGATGTTTCTTGGCAAGAAAAAAAAACCCAAACTAGTGGGTTTCTAGAGGAATGTTTCAGCTGTAAAAACGCTCTAACACTGAAAAATCCCGCTAAAAATGCAAACGCAAAAAAACGCTGCTAAGCGCGGCAAAACGCTGCTAAACGCTAATGCAAAAACGCTAAAAGAGCTTAAAAACTTGCGTTTTTAATGTGACTTTACACAGCTAACGTTACCATCGTTATCAAAATGTCCCGTGTGTATGAGGACTAAAGCTGTCATACAGTCTACACTCAGAGGCGCTGTGTTTCTCCTTCTGTTTTTTCTACTTTAGAGTTTGCTTCACTCTACTACAGCTTGCCCTGGTATTATTATTAGGATTTAGGTATTCAGACTGTCTGCCCTTCCCTCCGGTTTTGGATTCCATATCCATTTAATTTTAAAAAGACTATGTGGACTGCATATTCCTTTCTATTCTTTTGGTATAAAATCCAGGCAGCTGTTAAAGTAAAAAACTTATGTATCAATATATTATTTTATTTTTATTTATTACAGGTACTTATATAGCGCCGTCAATTTACGCAGCACTTTACATATATATTGTACATTCACATCAGTCCCTAACCCTCGAGGAGCTCACAATCCAAGGTCCCTAACTTACATTCTTACATACACATACTAGGGCCAATTTAGAAAAGAGCCAATTAAACTACCAACATGTCTTTGCAGTGTGGGAGGAAATCGGAGTACCCGGAGGAAACCCACGCAGGCACAGGGAGAACCTGTATATAACCTATATCCACAGTTTCTGTATAGTGATGCAAGCTGGGGATTTGTAAAATGTAGTAGTATGACTTTCTCTTGATTGTTGTTATGTATTACTCATGTACAGCACCTGTCATCGGTGATGCGTGCCATGTGTTTTATTTTTTTATAGGACTGTTTTAGACATTAGATTGGAAGCTCTGCTGGCACTGCATGCTCTGTAAAACTTTGATCAACTGTAAATAAAGGGATCATGTTGTAGTGTTACATTTTTGAAAATGTTCTTTATTTTGACCATATTGTCCCTGTCTTCAGGCAGATTGTAGAATGTTTTTGGTGCTCATGTTGGTCTGTATGACTTAAGTCAAAAATTTCCAATGTTAAGGTGCATATCTATAAGCAAGTTCCTACTATAGGGCTATAAGTTAGTTCCTATTATACGGCCATAAGCAGCGTTTGCAGCAGCTGTTAAGTGTAGATACAGTTGCATGTGCCGTAGCTCCCAGCTGTTATTCTTTTAGAGGAACAATCCATGTTCTGGAACCCCGTCTGTCATTCTTCCACAAGAGTCCTAGTCTTCATCCAACACAAAGCCCCGTATACATTTTACTCTCCAGCTACCAAAATGTTTATGATGCTCCAATTTGATACCCAATCTCTTACGTTTTTATTCACATTTTTGAATGTTATTATAAAGTAAAATAGTTTTGAAAGATTGGAAACAAAAAGTCTGGAATTTGCTGCACCCCTCTCTATTTAATATCAAAATCACATGACAGGTGTAGCAGGAACAATGAAAGGTAACGCATTACGTGCTAAATACGGCTCTTACCAGGGGTGGACTGACAACTCATGGGGCCCCCGGGCAATAGGAGATCATGGGGCCCTGTGTCCTTGCCCAAACTCAAAAAAGCCTATGAAAAAGGTACCAGGGGCATCTCATGGGGCCCCCTACTTACCCCGGGCCTCGGGCAGTGCCCGAGTTTCCAAATGGTCAGTCCGCCCCTGGCTCTTACTCAAATCTAGTTGTGAAAGTGGCACCAGTATGTTTAATTGGATTTTTATTTTTTGATACATTTTTTTTTTTACCTAAATGTGCACCAAAGTGTCCCCTTTCCTTTTTTAGAACATTGGGAGTTGCGAAGGTTAGATCCTACATTTATGTTTTAAAGAGCTGCAGCTAAAAACAATCACTTTAAAACATGGATTCTGTTTTATCTGTATAATTTAGAAATGTCAGCAAATTTATATTTAAAGCAAAATAATAGGAAGGCTTTATTATTCAATAGTATGCTACTAATACTACAATAGAGTTGAATATAATTCTGAAAATATTTTTGAATGTCCTTCCAACACAAATTCAGTTTCCTTGCTCCCGTGTTTCCAAACTTTGTTGAGCAGTTTAACCCCTGGTTCACATATACACGTTCCTGCGGTCCGCTTTTGCGTGGGCACGAGAGCCCATTCATTTGAATGGACTCCCGTGCCCCAGGACACACAGGGAAGAAGTCCCTGCACTTCTTCTGAAAATGCAGCCCGCATGGGTACCTCGATTCCCAGTATGGTTGCGATTTCCAGTGCAAGTGGCAGGCCATTAGAATCAATGGCACCCGCCCGTGGGTCCGCATTCCTCTGTGCGGGTGGCTGCACAGATTTTTGCACCACCCGCACGTATGTGAACCTAGCCTTAGAACGAATGCCACTTCAAGCACTTGTCTGTGATTTTTAAGATGCCATAGTAGTTCAGGTGTTTTATACGGTAGACATAGAATCTTCCTGTAATACTCTGAAAATGTGCTGTAGTTACTACATTGATGTCCCAATGCCCTGCAGTCTTTTTTTTCCTTCTCCTAGGATTTAGCAGAAACATTAGACTAGGGACAATGGGGTTGATTTACTAAAGACAAATGGGCATGCACTTTGCAAGGGCATTTGCTCCAGGGCTTAGTAAATGAGGTGAAGCTTCACTTTATAAGGAATAGCCAATCACAAGAAAGTAAAAAAAAACCCAGCATTTTTGGTTGATGGATGTCAGCAGAGCTCCCCCTCATTTACTAAGCTCTGGAGCAAATGTACTTGCAAAGTACACAGTCTGTTTGCCTTTATTAAATGAACCCCAATGTAAATAGCATGCTTTGGAACAATGCTAGAGAACTTAGATATTGATGCAAACAAAGGTAGACTATATGAAGTCTATGTTAGACCTACCCTCAGTGGTAGTCAAACCCAATTTCAAAGGGCATGCTCTCACTATTTGGTATAGATAAGTCCCCAGTGAAGTTCACATTTATTTATTTATTTATTTCAGGTACTTATATAGCACTGTCAATTTACGCAGCACTTTACATATATAAATTGTACATTCACATCAGTCCCCAAACCTCAAGGGGTGTACAATCTTAATGATTTATAAAATCCGTACATGTCTTTATATGGAAGAGTCCATTTATAGAGAAATAAGTCATGATACTCTATGCACATAGGGTGGGATTAGGACTTGGGACCTCAACTCTCCAAAGCAACTTTGCAGAACATGTATAATTTATACTCAATTGACTTCTACCTTCCAGTAAATAGTATGGCTAAAAGCGTCAAAGTACCATATTCGTAAAATAATATGTTAATTACAAAGCAATTAGTTTAATTTTTCTATATTATAGCATTGTTTTTATTGTTACTGCATATGGAAACAAATCCTTAAGTGTAATGTTCAGCTTTAGGCAGAGAAATGGGTTGAATCAAGTTCCTAAAACCTTTAAAATAAAGTATGATGTCTAGTAGGACCAAGTAGAATGTTAGGTCTTTAAAGAGAAGTAGTACCCTTTGTTGTTAATTTAATTCAGAAACCCAAAGTTAGCCAACAATCACAATCTTCTGAAATTTTGGAAATTGAAAAAATAAATGAAAATTTAGGTTAACAGACTGAGCTACAGGTTCAATTTTGAGGGGGAAACCCATACAGACATTGGAAGAACTTACAAATTTCATAGCATCCCTGATGGGGAGTGAACCCAGGATCCCAATACTTTAAAGCAGCCTTTCTCAGCGTTTTTACTCCAGAGGATCCCTTGAAATGATTTTCAGGTCTCATGTCTCAGGGAACTCCCGCTAAAACCAATTTATTGGAAGTCATTTAGAAAAAAAGCCCCTTAGATTGGAAGCCAATCAGAAAAATACCCCCTTACAGTAGTAAGTACAGCAATGCCACCCTACCAGCTAAAAAGATCGTGGTATAAAGCAGCAGCATGCACAAGTTTTATATATTTTTCTTTGACACATATAGATTGGCGCTTTTTTCTATTTTTGTTGTTGTAAAAGGATCGTGGGAGTTAAGCCACTGGCTCTTTCAAGTGGCATTGGCTCTGGAACTATGGAGCCACCATTAATTGGGAAGTCAATCAGACACAGATCAAAGTACCTTTAGGAAACTCTGGAGAAACCCTGGCTGAGAATGGCTGATTTAAAGCATTAAAGCCAACATCTAAAATTCAATGTTATAACCAGATGTTTAGCCTCCTTGGTCTATAAGATTATAGCGTCAGGGCATTGCCAGCTATTGATTTTATAACTTCATTTGTACAAGAGATTACCATGCAGTATAAATCAGCAATAACATTATACCACACTTGTTATTTTTTCAGCCTTTTGCAAGGAAAAAGATAAAGAGAAGAAGCTAGAAGATGATAGCACAGCCACAGCTGTCCCCCAGTCGGCTTTCCTGGGGCCGACTCTTTGGGATAAGACCTTGCCGTATGATGGAGACACCTTCCAGCTTGAGTACATGGACCTGGAAGAGTTTCTCTCTGAAAACGGGATCCCACCTACCCAATCCTCACATGAACTGAATTCTCATCAGCCTAGTCTACCACCACCACCACCCCCAGTGACCGCACCTTCTGTTATCGATCTCAGCAACCGAGCATCTACCTCCGTCCTACCAGGTTTGGTGCCCCAGAACTGCATGCACAGTCCAGTGAGACCCGGTAAGGACATCTTGTTTTTATAACTATTTACTAAATTTTAATAGAGTGGAGACCTTTTCTTCAGACCTTAGGTGCCCTTAGGCATTAGATAAATGTTGGCTGGTCCTTTCTAACTTAGACAGGATTGAATGATTGTCTTTGTGACAAAGGGCAACCTGTGACCTTTATAGATACCTCCAGCTTCAAGACTTAAGGTCTTTACCAATGGCTACTGTTAGAAACCACAGGGCCCCATACAGCCGACCTGACAGGGGCCCCCTCAAAAAAGAAAAAATGTTACGATGCTTCAGTTATGAATGAACACAGTGAGTGATTGGTACCGATCACTCATTGAGTTCATTCAGGAAAGAAAGGGGCTAGTAAATGTAACATTAACCGGAACCTTTCCCCCCCCCCGCTCTTCATTCTGAAGGATCCTATTGTGTGCTTGGAGCTGCTGGTGGGAAGCAAAGGAGGAAAACCAGTACCTCTGCAGGGGTGGGGACACACAGGGGGCCTGGGCAGCAGAGGGAAACGTATTGGTGTGCAGCGGGGGCTGGGGGTAATTATTGGAACCAATTCCCTTGGATGGCTATCTCTGCAGCAGTTGGGAGGGAGAGGAGAAGAATCCAGCTTTCAGCTGCTGCAGGAAGAGCCATACAGGGGATCAGTTGCAGCCCCCCCCCACACCGTGCTGATCACCTGCCCACATCCAATTCACCTAGCTACCTGGGCCCCCATACAGGAGGACTGCTGGTACCCCCCTTGTCCACGGCCCTGGATTCTGTTAGTCCAAGCCAAGGCAGTCTATGCATTATAAATGACTTGGATTTTCTGATGCAAATTTGGTCAGAAAGACAGCGGAAGAAAATTTATGATAACTCCACTTGCAATTGATAATTTGTAGGTGGCTTCTCATTTCTCTCATTTCTCTCAGTCCAGCATTGAGATCTTTGGCAGGCTTCTTGTTGGGCTTGTCTTAAAGTAAGACGAGTGACACGTGGTTTACAAGTTACTAGTTGGGAACCATCAACTGACCAGTGATCAAAAGTTAGACCTTTGCAAATGTTTTGTAAGGGGTTAGTCTTCCCAAAAGCAGAATTCATCAAATATACGGAGTCCTTCAACTGTTGTTCATAGCACTAATCCCAAGCACTTTGGTCTCTTGGTCCTCCACCTACAATAGGAGTGTTCCAAGTATTTTAAAAAAGGTTGGGAACAACCATGGGAGAGTGGTACCTGCTTCAGTTTGCCATATAATATGAGTAAGACACCAAAATATAGTGATGTCACCACAGGAGGTTCCAAGAGACAAACATTTAGAAAATGATTACCAAAAATTGATATATTGCTTAGTTTCCATTTAAATTGTACATTTCCCTTTTCAGTATTATTTATTGTAGAATTATATTACTCTAATAATTATGTACAACTAGGAAATGCAAGTGCATTTAAGTATAACCTAAAAAAAACTTTACTATTTTTATTCAGACTAGTACCATTTTAAGTTATTTTGTCCATCAAAATTAAATACATAGTTGAAGAAACACATTTGAATAGAAGAATCCCCATCAAGGCTGACCCTAACTGTAGATTTCTTGCCTACACTTATCTGTAGAAACAGCTAGCTTTTGTTTATGCACCTTGTCTTTATAAAGATATGGCTTCCAACAGCTGTGTTCCTCAAGGCAATTCAAGCACAAGCTCTGCTAGCTGGCTCTTTTTTTGTTGAACAGCAGTTTGCAAGGACGAAATAATGCTGCTTATACACTAGAAACATTTCTAGCAGCTTTAACCACTGTTGGTTGGCTTTCAATTCCGAAACCAATTGCAACCTATACTTTCAAAGCAGGATCATTGGAAGGTTGCCTTGACTTGGACCCATTCAATCACTCTTGTGATAGAAATCTGTCTAAAAGGGGTTGCAATTGTTCAAAATTGCCCATGTGCATTTAAAACCTAGAATCATTCTCACATCTTAATATTTAAATCTATGGCTTGACTCAAAAATCCTGTCATGGTAAAGCCTTGCTTGGGTCCACTTTGAGGCTAGTG